CAAAGCACCTGGAGAGCATGTTCGTTGAAGGTCAACCTTTAATTGAACCAGATTTCGAACTAGAAGTGCCTGAAATTCATACAGCTGGCTAATGGCCTCCAAACTCACTTTCCATTTCTACTTCTTTATGTTCTCTCTTTGGCTCCATTCACATGCCTATGCGGGTTACGATTATACCAGCTGATACATGTAGATTCATAGATTTTAAAGGTCAGAAGCAACCGTTATAACCTTACCTCCTGCTCTCTGGAGCTGCAGCTAGCCAGAGATGTCAAGAGTAACAAGAAGGGTTTCTTCAGGTATGTTGGCAACAAGAAGAAAGCCAAGGAATGTGTGGGCCCCTTACTGAATGAGGGAGGCAAACTAGTGACAGAGGATGTGGAAAAAGCTAATGTACTCAATGCTTTTTTTGCCTCTGTTTTCACTAACAAGGTCAGCTCCCAGACTGCTATGCTGGGCATCACAAAATGGGGAAGAGATGGACAGCCCTCTGTGGAGATAGAGGTGGTTAGGGACTATTTAGAAAAGCTGGACGTGCACAAGTCCATGGGGCCGGACGAGTTGCATCCGAGAGTGCTGAAGGAACTGGCGGCTGTGATTGCAGAGCCATTGGCCATTATCTTTGAAAACTCGTGGCGAACCGGGGAAGTCCCGGATGACTGGAAAAAGGCTAATGTAGTGCCAATCTTTAAAAAAGGGAAGAAGGAGGATCCTGGGAACTACAGGCCAGTCAGCCTCACTTCAGTCCCTGGAAAAATCATGGAGCAGGTCCTCAAAGAATCAATCCTGAAGCACTTGCATGAGAGGAAAGTGATCAGGAACAGCCAGCATGGATTCACCAAGGGAAGGTCATGCCTGACTAATCTAATCGCCTTCTATGATGAGATTACTGGTTCTGTGGATGAAGGGAAAGCAGTGGATGTATTGTTTCTTGACTTTAGCAAAGCTTTTGACACGGTTTCCCACAGTATTCTTGTCAGCAAGTTAAGGAAGTATGGGCTGGATGAATGCACTACAAGGTGGGTAGAAAGCTGGCTAGATTGTCGGGCTCAACGGGTAGTTATCAATGGCTCCATGTCTAGTTGGCAGCCGGTATCAAGTGGAGTGCCCCAAGGGTCGGTCCTGGGGCCGGTTTTGTTCAATATCTTCATAAATGATCTGGAGGATGGTGTGGATTGCACTCTCAGCAAATTTGCAGATGATACTAAACTGGGAGGAGTGGTAGATACGCTGGAGGGGAGGGATAGGGTACAGAAGGACCTAGACAAATTGGAGGATTGGGCCAAAAGAAATCTGATGAGGTTCAATAAGGATAAGTGCAGGGTCCTGCACTTAGGACGGAAGAACCCAATGCACAGCTACAGACTAGGGACCGAATGGCTAGGCAGCAGTTCTGCAGAAAAGGACCTAGGGGTGACAGTGGACGAGAAGCTGGATATGAGTCAGCAGTGTGCCCTTGTTGCCAAGAAGGCCAATGGCATTTTGGGATGTATAAGTAGGGGCATAGCGAGCAGATCGAGGGACGTGATCGTTCCCCTCTATTCGACATTGGTGAGGCCTCATCTGGAGTACTGTGTCCAGTTTTGGGCCCCACACTTCAAGAAGGATGTGGATAAATTGGAGAGAGTCCAGCGAAGGGCAACAAAAATGATTAGGGGTCTGGAACACATGAGTTATGAGGAGAGGCTGAGGGAGCTGGGATTGTTTAGCCTGCAGAAGAGAAGAATGAGGGGGGATTTGATAGCTGCTTTCAACTACCTGAAAGGGGGTTCCAAAGAGGATGGCTCTAGACTGTTCTCAATGGTAGCAGATGACAGAACGAGGAGTAATGGTCTCAAGCTGCAGTGGGGGAGGTTTAGATTGGATATTAGGAAAAACTTTTTCACTAAGAGGGTGGTGAAACACTGGAATGCGTTACCTAGGGAGGTGGTAGAATCTCCTTCCTTAGAGGTTTTTAAGGTCAGGCTTGACAAAGCCCTGGCTGGGATGATTTAACTGGGAATTGGTCCTGCTTCGAGCAGGGGGTTGGACTAGATGACCTTCTGGGGTCCCTTCCAACCCTTATATTCTATGATTCTATGATTCTATAACACAGGCCACAGAACCTCACTCAGTACCTCCTGCATTGAGCCCAATCACTTGGGGTCAAGCATGTTTTAGAAAGACGTGCTAGGTCCCAATCCAACTTCCAATAAAGTCAAAGGAGAGACTCCCAATAGGAGCTGGATTGGGCACTTTGCTATAGAACCAGGAGTGCTTTGCCCAGCCTCAAGCAGAAGGATTCCATCATCTCCCTGGGTTGGGACTTTCCCACAGTGAAGGTTTAGGTTCTCCCGTGTTGGCTTTCTCCTGCTGTTCACTCCAAAGCAGCATTATTCCCCTTCCTCTGGGAAATTCCAGCCCTGGACATGTGAATGTAGACTTTTCCTGAATTAAACACCCTGAGCCTGGGTTTATCTGAGGACACAGAACAAAAGACAGTGCTTCTGAAGACTTGCGTTACTCACAGGAGAATGATTCACAGGATGGATTAGATATCAGGAAATGGACTAAAACAACGAAATTCTCTGACCCAGGCTCACATTCTCAGCCCTCATTTTTGTTTTACATCAGGCCAACTGGACATTAGAACTGTTCGAATATGTCTACACAGCAAAGAAAAACCTGCCACCGGTCCATGCCAGCTGACTTGGGTTTGCAGGGCTCGGACTGGAGGCCTGTTTCATTGCTGTTTAGACTTCCAGGCAAAGCAGACTTGACTGAATAACCTATAGCTGCTGCCAGGTATCATTCCTAAATCCCTAGTGGCTTATATTCTCTCATTCTGCCTTGAGTCTTTCAAGTAGCTTATGAACACCTTTCTAATAATTCCCCACTTCCTGGACATTTTTACTAAACAACATAACTTTTGTTACCTTAAGACATTTGAATTATTCCTCAGAAAGCTTTTCCATTTCTTTATCCAAGCCCTTACATACTCATAAAAGGCAACTGATTGCTTCTTCGATTGCTTACAGAGCTCACCTAGGCCTTCTGTGTGTCTACTTATTCTAAAAAGATTTTTGTTTAAGCAGCAAACTGTCAGTTCTCTAAACAAAGTCACTTCACTTTTCCCTATCAGGCCCAGAAGTACGTTGCTATCGTCAACTCTAGGGCACAATTAAAAAAGAAAAAGAAACACCCCCCCTCCCCTTCTTCCTCTTCCTTTTTGGGAATCCAAAGTTTGTCATCATTCCTCTTTTAGATTTTTCTATATTAGGCTTTTGAATTCCTGTTTACTCACGATATTTCTATGTCAATGTCTTCATTTCTTACAACATTTTAGCTGCTTTGTCCATCATTTTGTTCCCTGATATCCCAGTATGCACTGGGATCCAAGTTAATGCTACATATATCCCCAGCTGTACTAACTCTGTTCTAAGAAATATAATTTCATTGATTAAATCACTTCTGCATACTAACAGGTTTCAGAGTAGCAGCCGTGTTAGTCTGTATTCACAAAAAGAAAAGGAGTACTTGTGGCACCTTAGAGACTAACCAATTTATTTGAGCATAAGCTTTCGTGAGCTACAGCTCACTTCATCGGATGCATCTGATGAAGTGAGCTGTAGCTCACGAAAGCTTATGCTCAAATAAATTGGTTAGTCTCTAAGGTGCCACTTGTCCTCCTTTTCTTTCTGCATACTAAGACACCCTTTTTTATTGCCACAGGGCCTGAGACTGAGGTTGGTTTGTTTTTTTAAAATGACCACTGCTATTGGGTGTACATCCCAGATCCAATTTAATGCCTGCATTATTGCAGCTAGTTAGGCTGCCATAACAGCTATAAAATCTGATATTATTTTAGATGATCTAATTCCCAGTGTTGGTGTATAAAATGTGTCACTTCCGTTTTCTCTCTTTTGGATCCATCTCTCTGTATTTGACAAAACCGACTCCACTTGTCATCTATATACTGGCACACTTCAGTTTTAATTTCTACAGTCTTTTTTTTTTTTTTATCCCTTAAGTTTATAAAATAAATCTGTATCCACCTTTGGGCATGCAGCTTTCCATCCATAACTGATGTTCCCATGACTAAAAGTTTTGACTTCATTTAGCCTTTCCCTATCTTTCAACTTCTGCATGCATATTAACTCTAATGACAAGTGAAGTTCTAACATTGCATGCTATAATTCACCTATCAAATTCCTAACAATATATTTGTTTGGCACTTTCATCATTGTAATTCCCATTAACTTTGGCCCAGAAAGTTAGGTCCAGTAGTTTCATTCATAATATAACTTGCATTTCCCTAGAAGTCATCTGTAGTGCATTGATAGGTATTGCAATAAATACACACACACAATTTATAGTGCCTGGGCTTGTATTAAATCTAATTTAAGTTCTGATTTTGACGCTGACCTAAAAGCTTGGCAGCCACAAAAACTAGTTCCCCCTGCTGATACTCACACCTTCTTGTCAACTGTTTGAAATGGGCCACCTTGATTACACTGGCCTCATTAGCACTACAAAAGTGATTTCCACCCCTTCTTGTCAACTGTTGAGAATAGCCCACTTCCACCTTAATTGAATTGGCTCGTTAGCACTGACCCCTCACTTGGTAAGGCAACTCCCATCTTTTCATGTGCTGTGTATTTATACCTCCCTACTGTATTTTCCACTCCATGCATCTGATGAAGTGGGTTTTAGCCCATGAAAGCTTATGTCCAAATAAATGTGTTCGTCTCTAAGGTGCCACAAGGACTCCATGTTGTTTTTGCTGATACAGTCTAACACGGCTGCTCCTCTGAAACCTGATCTGACCATTGCTGATTGCATACAGAGCCTTATTTTCTTATTCCACCCCCCCCCCCGGTAGCCCCAGCAAGACTTTTAAGCAGGTTAATCCTTCCTGTACATTTATCTTTAACTTAGTCTATATGATCTTCCTCAACTAATTTAGAATCAAATGTCCCCTAGGAATTCAAACCTTTTAACGAGGTCTATTTGTTCTCCATACAGATGCAGTTTACATTCCGTTGTAACTTTCCTTTTGGTAAAGACCAATCCTTTGGCTTTAGCAATGGAGAGCCTGAAGTCCCATGCATGTCCACAGTCAGAGGTTTCTTATAACACTGCTGATTCTCTTTTCTGTCACTTCAATATTCCCACTCCAAACCGACAGAGCACAGTCATCTGCAAATAGAGCAACACCTACCTCACTACTTATTTGTTTGGGGAGATCGTTTGTCATAGTATTAAATAAGGCCAGGCTGATAATTGTTGCCTGTGTACAGTTTTTAACATTATATATATTTGACATAACTTTCCCACCGCCAACCAGCATGGTCCCACCCATTCTTCCTCTTATCCCTAGTGCATCTACTCTATAGAACAAGCCTTCCCCCCAACAGCATATCAGACATCGTCTCAATAGCTAGAAAGACCGCTATCACAAAACCTTTGTGCCTCATACTCGTTTGTATTTCAGTTTCTAATTTAAAAACATGATCCAGATTTCCTGCTTTTATAGCAACCGCCCAGCTCCTCTCCCAATTGGGGCTCGCCAACCCCTCCAGGTGCAGTCAGGTGGGTTAATTGGAGCCTCAGACCCACATTAACCCTTTTCAAGCCAGGATGTAGTATATACCCCATCACACTATCTATGGTGTGATTGCATTTGGGTTACGCCTGGAATTAATTTGGCCCAATAGCTTCACTCACAAAATCCAATTGGCAGGGAAAAAGATTACTATGAGGGCATTGTGTAATAATGACTCTGAAACTAGTTCCCAATGCTGCAGAGAAGACAGCTCAGAGCTCTGTTTTGTTGGTGTGAAGAGAGATTATGCTGAAAACCCAAATGCTGTAAAGTATTTTTTTCAATAATTATAAGTAAATGATTAGGGGGCAGATTTTTTAGTAAATGATTAGGGGGCAGATTTTTTAAGTAAAAACCCCACCTCTTAGCAGCAGCTGCCCCATAACTCCAGCCTCTGTTGCTGCCACAGTTGTCCTCTTGGGCTCTTCTGCCTGATTTCTCCAGCCAGGAGGCATTTGCCAGCAGGTAAGATCTCTTGCTGTACACTTGGCATTCCCAGATGGTATTTTTGCTCTCTCTCTCCTTTTTTAAAAAAATATGTAAAACCATTAGAAAGGCAGATTTCTCCAGCTTTGCTCCATACATGAATTCTTTGGCATCCTGCTCAGAAGACCTTTTATTATTCATTGGTATTTGACTTCTAACTGCAAAGTACCAATCAAAGTCCTGGATCCGATAAATACATTCACCAATGTATTTATATTGGGGCAACAGAACGGACCAAGAAAAACAGCTAATTACGGCCAGCATCAAGATTAAACAAACCCACCCAAACAACTTTACCCTTGAAATCAAGTCCCGATTGGAGTCTTTCCATTGACTTGAATGGGCTTTGGATCAGGTCCTAAATGCCTGAGAAAACATGGAACGAAATGCTGGCTGCACAGATGTTAATGAAGCAACAGTCCATCTGTAGGCTCTGCAGCGTGTCCAGGTTCGCAAGCCTCTACTCATGTTAGAGCAAACCATCGTGTGTGTGTGAGTGTGTCTCTCTCTCCCACACACACACGGTGCGGGTGGCTATTGGAATGATGGGGTTCAGAATGGAACAGGAACAAGAGGTTTTGGAATGGTGAGGGAAATAATGGAGACAAGGAAAGCTGGAATGAAGTGGGAACAACAGCTGGAGACATGGATAGAGAATTATAGGCACGACTGTAATAAGGGAATGAGGCATGCGGGGTGTCATGACGAGGGAGTACTGGAAAGGAGAGGAAATCGAGCCCTGCAGCGGTTAGGAATGGAGATGGGACTGGGAGCTGGAATGTTTACTGTGACACTTCATCATTGAGGTAATGGATGGCATGGGAGATCCAGCTTCATTGCCACCCTGAGCTGTTGTTTTGGGGTTACGGGGTAAGAACACAGGCGTTCTCGTACTGGATCAGACTGTGTTGGCCTAGTGTTAGGCTGTCGCCCTCCCAATAAAAGGTGATTCTCCCCCTCAAAGGATTATTATGGCCAGTTGTGCTATGTTGTACATTGCTATATTATCCTGAGCCCTGCCAGAGACCACTGTACACCCTAAAACATGATCGTTACCCTTAGCTTTCTTAGTTGCAGGTGTTAACTATGGTCATAAAGTTACCCAGACCTTTTAAAAATCCATTCTCAGCAGATCTCCAGGAGCAGCAAATTCCACACGTAGACCTTTTGCTGTGCGAACACTCCAAGCATCACAGTCACAGTGAATTCCAAGGGGGGGTGGGGGGGAGAACTAATGAACTCCAAGGATGCTCTGAATTATCCCAGTTACACCCAGCTGATGCATCAGCTAAGGATCCCCTTACGTCAGGCAGCTTTCTGGCTGAGGCAGGGGCTATGGGAGATTCATCCCTAAGGCATCAGGTCTGTATAAAGGAAAGGACAACACCACTGGGTAACTAGAAGCACACACACGCTCCATTTGTTACGGGGTGCGTTTGAGGCCTTGGTCTGGAATTATTCCAGGAACTCATGCAGTCCCTTTGGTTTGCAGCCAGTGGGTTGTTCTGGAGCTGCCATTGAACGTTTGGCTGTAGCTATGACATGACTATAGCTGAGTGAATAACTGATTCCTCCCCCCCCCCCTTTGGGCTAATGAATGGGGACGGGAGAAGTCATTTTGGGTCAAATAAAAAAATATTTTGTTTGACCCAAAACAAGTGTTTTTTTTTTTTTTTTTTTTTGTAAAAACACAAAAATATTTAGTCAATACAGCTACATTTCCAAAAATTCTAGCCCCCCTTTTCCCTCAATTTTTTGTTCAATCAAAACTTCTCTAAATTTGCAAACAGTTTGTGACCCCTAATGGCATTTTTATTTTATCTTTTTTAAAATAAGCTCCTCATCTGAAACATTTCGCTTGGCTCCAGACATGATCCCAGAGTCTATTTCTTCCTCAGGTTCTGCACAGACATGTGGAAACTCTTCCCAATGGCAATACTGGCAGCCAGCAGTGAGTACCGGAAACCCCACACCCCCAGCCCCTGAGGGCAGGCCAAGTGGCATCCATCAGCAAAGTGACCGCCATCTTGCCAAGGAGCTACAGAGCGGCTCAAGCCATATTTTGGAGGCCCCAAAGTTCAGTCCTGGGTTGGGCCCATGAGTGAACTCTAGCTCTGCAGTAGGCTTTCAAACCTGCTCACAATTCAGGGCTGTTCAGAACAAAGGTTCTGGCCCATCTTTATAAAGAATTGCATAAGAAACAACACTGCTGAACCCCTCCACTGGGGTTAAGGGTCAGTTCCACCTTGCAGGACGTGGTCTAACATTACGCTTTCCTCCACCCCCTCTGCACTGGTGCCCATCACTATAGATTCTCCTTTCTGCTAGGAGACGGTCACATCCTCATCAGATGCCTTGGAACTCCGTCGGGGCGGATGGGGGACTAGCTTGTTTGTACTGCGTACAGCAGAGGGCATCGCAGCCCCTCAAAACAAGCCCATCTGTTCACAGCTCAGACCCCATATACCTGGGGGCATCAGTTTGAGTCACAGCTGCTGTTAGCTTCTAAGCTGCCCCTGACTGTCTGGTCGAGATCATGAGACTATTTCAGTGACAGGCAGAAAACAGTGCCAGGGCAGATGAGCTACTTATACAGCCCCTATTACCCTGGCATCCAGGTGCCTCCCAGCACCCACGTGAGGAAGGAAAGAGCTATGACCACCCTAATACAGAAAGGGAACCGACGCAGAGAGATTAAGGCCTGAATGCATGAGAGGCATTAGATACCTGGGAGAAATCACTGCGATACACAAAGCCTGAGTTAGATACCTACGCTCCTCTGCAATGAGCGGGGAGAGATGGGTGCCTGTGACCCCGAACCACAAACCCAGCATGATCGGCAGGGAGCCGCCTAAGGTAGGCGATGGGCAGTGCCGACCAGGGTGTGTGTGCTAAGCCCCACCCCACTCACAGGGATAAGGGCATTCCCCCAGGATGTGGGAGACCCAGGCCCCCTGTTCCATTGACCCTAGTTATCCACAGTGCAACAGATTCAACAGGAGAGATTGAGGGATTTCCTCACATCAGAATACGCCATAGTCCAACGGTTAGAGAACTCCCTGTTCAAATCCCTTCTCCCCTTCAGGTGGAGGGGGACTTGAACAAAGGTTTCCCACATCCAAGGTGAGCACTCTAATCACTGGGCTAAAAGTTCAAGGCATAGTGTTGTCATCCTGCGCCCTGCCCCCTCCCCTATTCTGTATGAACTTGCCTGAGGGGCCTGATCTGTGAAGAGACCTCTGAGCATCCCTACCGGATGAGGCCCCATGTGCAAATCCGGTGGCTGAATGCCCCTGGTTTGTGAATCACTCTGGGGCTTAGGTGGGAGATAAACATCTGGACCCCCCCCGCCCCGGAGAAGCAGCAGTGCACATGCTCAGAGACAAAACACAGGCGCTGAGGGAACTTGTACTGCAAAAATAAGAAAACCTCCAAACCAAGGGGCGGGAGGGGGAGGGAGGAAAAAAAAAAAAGAAGAAAGAACAGATAGACATTTAGGCACCTACAGGATTTCAGCAGGACTTTTGTGCATCACATGGTCGTGGAACCGGGGTTTGGGCACCTAACTCCTTTTGCACATTCAGCCCTAAGTGACTTGCTCAAGGTCACACACTGAATCTGTAGCAGAACAGGAACTGAACCTATATCTCCTGAGTCCCTGGCAGTAGTTTGACCGGTAGACTACCCTTCCTCCCTGTGCTAGGTTATAGCTAACATGAAAGCAGAAGCAGTACAAGCCTCCCCTTAGTCACTAAATACTTAGTGATTTTGACCTCCCTCTGTACGTCAGGTGAGGGACCAGGGAAATGATTCTCCTTGAAGGCAAAACATCTCCTTGGAAAAGTCCTGAAAAGCGCTTTCTGCTCTTTCACAGTTTTGACCATGATCCACAGCAGCCTCCTCAATTTCAAATTCATGATCCGGAGAATTACTAGGAAAAGTGCCTTAATTTCCTATAATGGGTATGGATGCCACTGTGGACTCGGTGGGAGAGGGCAGCCTCTAGATAAGACAGACTGGTAAGTTTTGGTTCAGGTCAGTGCTGCTGGTATCAATACTAATTTTTGCAATGCACTGATTTAGTTAGCTGGGCACCTAAATCCTAGGGTTGTAACTGCACTAAGCTCTTTAGCATCTGGGGCAGAGCGCCTCAACTCTCCAGAGTATATGAGAATGGAAACTCCTTTGTAGTCAAGGCACGCTGGGGTGATTCATCCCCAGAATCTTAAAAGGGCCAGTAGAACCCTGTGATTAGTGGTAGTATTTATTTGTATTATACCACACTGGGGTCCTGGTTCCGGATAGGCTCCTTCGTGCTAGGTGCTGTACATACACAGAACAAAGACAGGCTCAGCCCCAGGGAGTTTTCAATCTAATGGATTTTTTTTGGTTCAGTCTCCCTCTCCCCCCCAAACCCCCCCAATCATTTAAGTCAACCCCCCACCCCAGCTCCTGAACAAACTTTAACGTTTTGGCAGATCAGAAAGTTGTTTTAGGTTGAACTAAATGTTTTGTTTAGATTTGATTTTTAGCTTGTTAGGGTTTTTTTAAATTAAAATTGAAGGACATTTTAAAACAGCTATGAATCAAAAAAATCAGAACAGTCCATTTTGAAGTTTTTTCAATTTTTTCCTAAATAGTTTTGAAGGCTCCACCCCCAACCAAAACTATTCAGCAAATTCAACACCAATTCACAAAATGTTCCAGTCAACCCACATCTGCATTTTTTGCTGAAAAAAAGGTTTTGTTCAAAACGTTTCACCCAGCTTTGGACAGGAGCTGGATTTGAGGCACAGAGCTAAGACCGTCACTTGGGATAAACATCTGGGCTGCTAGGGGCTTTTCCCAACCAAGACCAAACTCTGTTCCTTGGGAGGCTCGCTCACACTCTCCCCTCTAGTAGTGGTGATGTTGGCCATTACTTCACCTGGTCAGATTCTCCACCCCACTCCTGTGTTTCCGTCTCCCTGAAGGTGCTGTCATGCCCATGACTGCTGCTATAAGGAGTTAACCAACCAGAGCTGTCACCCATTTTTCGATCATTATCGATACTCCATCATCGACAAAGATGTTATGTGCTGTGAGTAGCATTTTCTGCATGGCTAAAATGGCCACGGATACCGTGGTGATCTACCTGAGACCTTGTTCTCTTGCTTTAACCTTTTACAATGACATTGGAACAAAGGTGGTTTTTTTTTTGGTTTTTTTTTTTTTGTAGGAGTGGTGGGTGAAATTCTGTGGCCTGCGTTGTGCAGGAGGTCAGACTAGATGATCATAATGGTCCCTTCTGACCTAAATATCTATGAATCTATGAATCTAGGTGTCCTAAAGAGAAACAGTCAGTCAGAGGGGCTTTTGGGAAGAAGTAAAGCACTTACAGGATAGCTAGGGGTTGGGGGGGGAGGAAGTGGAAGTACTTCTGGTCCTTCTGGTTCCTCCCCACAACCTCCAAGGCAATTAGGGGGACATCTTACAGAGCAAGTGGACAGGACAACCGTTAAGGACCTCTGAGCTGTGACTGACTGAATGCCAGTTCCAGGGCAGGCAGCCTTGATGGATCGCAGGGCCTTTGCGTTCCAGTGCTGCAGTGCCAGAGCCACTGGGCCTCATTGGTCACTGTATTTACACCTGTGAAGATGGGTGTAAAATGTTGCCAGTCTGATTTTCCAGCATTTTATACCCACAACGCCCAAGTGGACGTGACTGACTGCAATGGTCAGAGCCGCCATCTTGGCCAACACACTGGGAACTGAGCCGGGGACCTCCGGAGTGAAATGCATGAGCTGCTACAGCTCTGTAGCTGGGGCAGTCACCCCACATAGCCTCTGGGGATTGGTACGGAGCAGGGGCCTGTAGCTCACACTCACCAGCGGGCTACACTAGGCAGGGGAGAATCGGCTGCACTCTGCTGGTTTGGAAAGGCACCTAAGCTGGCGATGGGGCAGTGAATCCAGCGCTGATGGCACCCCTGCTATTGGCATTGCAGCAGCTGGGAACTCTGCAGTGTTGCAACATTCCCGGCAGCGTTACAGCAACAGGGCTGCCTCGTTCCTCTTTCGCTAAACCTCATCCATGCATCTGGAGCGCTGAAGGTCAGGGAAGGAACAAGCTGCTCAGCGCTTGGCCTCCGAGTGGGTCCCTGGCCTTTTAGTTACCGCACAAGGGTTCTGGAGTGAGAAATGCTTTTGTTCCTGCAGGGAACACAAATAATGCCACCTGTGCAAAGCGAGCATGTGAATGTGACCGGACAGCGGTCCTGTGTTTCAGAAAGGAAGCAAGCAGCTATCACAAAGGATACCGCTATTACTTCAATTTCTTCTGCAAAGGATCTACCCCCCGTTGCTAAATAAAGTTTTACTCGCCATCTGGCTACACAACAGATTGCAAAGCACAGATGTTTCCTCTTTCCAAAGTATTCCTAGCCCCTTCCTCAAAGAGACCATCAACCTACCAAGTGAACCAATCTCTTCCCTGGGGACAGCTAAAGCAATAGAAGGTGCTGGCTTGTACGTACCCTGTCTGTGGAGGGATCAGTAGCGAGGGACATGAAGTTGCTCAGGTAGGATATTAGCGAGCTGTACAGTTTGTCGCCATTCACCCAGTTAAACCCTATGAGGAGCAGTACCAAGAGGACTAACTCTGCTGGTGCTGTACCTCTTGGGCTCTCAAAAAGGGAGAGACAGACTGACAGACACACCCGCCACCAAGCTAAGTTTAAATTGTAGGCCAGATCCTCAACTGCAGTAAATCAGCATTTACTCCTCCTTCCTACCATGCACAGCCACAAAGCCTAAAATCACAGGCTAGTCCTTACGTTGCATTAGCACCTACACCAGATTAGCACAAAGGGGAGGTAAGTGCTCTGCTTCAGGGGTGGACAAACTTTTTGGCCCAAGGGCCACATCTAGGAATAGAAATTGTATGGCGGGCCATGAATACTCACAAATTTGGGGTTGGGGTGTGGGAGGAGGGGAGGGCTCTGGTTGGGGATGCAGGATCCGGGTGGGGCCAGAAATGTGGAGTTCAGGGTGCGGGAGGGGACTCCGGGCTGTGGCAGGGTGTGGGCTCCGTCTGGGGGTGCAGGCTCTGGAGTGGGGCTGGGGGATGAGGGGCTTGGGGTGCAGGAGGGTGCTTTGGGCTGGGACCGAGGGGTTCAGAGGGCAGGAGAGGGATCAGAGCTGTGGCAGGGGTTTGGGGCATGGGGGTGGGTGAGGGCTCCAGCTGGGGTTGCGGGCTGGGGATGAGAGGTTTGGGGTGCAGGAGAGTGCTCAAGGCTGGGAATGAGGGGTTTGGAGGGTGGGAGGGGGATCAGGGATGGGGCAGAGGTTTGGGGCAGGGCAGGAGGCTAAGGGGCGCAGGCTTCAGGAAGTGCTTACCTCAAGTGCCTCCCAGAAGCAGTGGCATGTCCCTTCTCCGGCTCCCACGCAGAGGTGCAGATGTCCCACCCGCAGGCACTGCCCCTTCAGGTCCCATTGGCCACGGTTCCCGGCCAATGGGAGATGTCGGGGCGGCACTTCGGGCAGGGGCAGCATGCAGAGTGGAGCCTCTTGGCTTCCCCTACACGTAGGAGCTGGAGGGGGGCCATGCCGCTGCTTCCAGGAGCTGTGTGGAGAGGCCCCCAACCATGCTCCCCAGCTGGAGCGCTGGAACAGGGCTAGCCCCAGACTGCCCTTCCCAGCAGGAGCTCAAGGGCTGGATTAAAACGGCTAGTGGGCCAGATCCGGCCTGCAGGACATAGTTTACCCAACCTTGCTCTACTTGTTATTTGTGTACACATGCAGAACTCAAAAAAAGGCTGATGGATGCTTGAAATTGACCGCTCAGTGGAGAACAAGCATGGAAAGTACCAGGCCCTTAAAGGGGTTTCAGAAATTCACCTCCAGTGAGAGTTCAAGCATGGAAATTTCAGCCCTAAAGGAAGGTATTTGAGGAAGTTCTGAGCGACTGATAAATGAGGTAGAGGGAGGCTACAATGGAAGGTGGATTTTGACCTTATCCTGCTATCATAAGGTACCGGTGGCATGGAATAGAGATTAGCGTCTTGAGTTTGGGATGACTACACAAGCCAGCAGAACAGCTGCAAAAAGCAGGTCATCCAGGGACCCACAGATACTGAAAACACATTCTTCCGTTTTTAACAGATTTTCTCTCTGTGCACAATTGGCTGTTTATCCGAACCTCCTCCCACCCCAGTCTCTTCACCTCAGCCTCATTCCACACCTCCCTTTTCTCCCCAGCTTCACCCTACTCTCCTGGTTCCTAACTTTCCAGTTAACAATCCCCTCCCAACGAAAGCTCACCACCAGAAAGGAAAAAAACAAACAAACAAACAAAAAAAACCACCCCACCCCACCACCTCGGAGCTAACATGACACGTGCCACCACCGCATGGCTTCCCTGCTGTAAGCTATTGCCCTCACTGACGCAGCAGCTCCAGGCCTCAGGAGAGGGCATGGCCAGGTCCTTGGTTATAGCACTCCCTACTGATTGCTGTTTTAATTCTACTCCAGTCAGTATCTTTCATGTCCCAGCCCTCCCGCCAGGTCCCCTTTCAGCACAGTCCCCTTCTGTAGTAACTAAAAGAAGTTCAAACAAAAACCCAGAGACCTAGTGACCACCTAGCAGGCCTTCAGCCCCCCTTTGTAGCCTTTTCCATAGCTTATGTCCTCTCCCATGGGGTGGGGGGCAGGGCAGGGGAGTGTAGGAGAATGCTTTCCTCTGGGTTCTTATCCAGGATTCTTCTGAGAAGCAGCTAGGGTCTATTTCTTATGAATCCTCACCAGCTCCCTGGACTATGTCTCACCTTCACCTGCTTGCAGGTGTCTGTCATGGAGCTGTATTCACCAGCCCCCTCTCCCTGCAGTATCATCTCTCTACACAGTTTGTCTCAGTCTGTGCTAAGAAACTTTCTCTGGGTAACTCCTAGCTTCTCTGGCAGCTACCTAGACCCCCTTCTCCTTTCAGGGCCTGTCACAGGGTATAAGCTCCCTACTGGAGCCTCACCCGTTGGCCCCTGCAGGCCTTCCCTTATAGGCCCACCCAGTCTGGTTCTCCCCAGCTGGGTCTAATCCTTAATTAGCTGTTTCTCTTCCAGGTGCCACTGAATAGGCTAGTTGCACCCCCAGACTCCATTGTAACCCTTTATTTGCCAGTGTGGGGCATATGCCCCATCACACCTACCCTGGATCTACCTTGTCTATTTAGAGCCTAGATCCACAAAGGTAATGGAAGTTAGGAGCCTACATAATGTCAATGAAAATCATTGGAAGTTTGTTGACCCATTCTTGGTTGGTCCCTATGACTGATAATAATACATTACTTATACTCATTGCACTCTGTTTTCTTGTAATAATTAAACTCTTTGTAATTTTTAAACAGTTACAAGCATATCCAATTAACCACGGCCATTATACCTGTGGATTGCTGCATACCCAATATGGAGGGGCAATGCTTTGACTGCCTAATGGTGAATAGAGCGTGCTCAGTAGCCATGAATGTGCTTTCCTGCTGCCTGGCTCTGCAAAGAATAACTTGTAAGATGAGAGGAAGACTAGTCCACGCACTGGTTAGGACCCTAGCTCAAGCCCTGGATTCAATTCCCTGCTCTGCCACAGACCTCCTGTGCAAGCTTGGACCTGTCACTTAGGGCTGGGTGTTTAGGTGCCTAACTCCCATTGATTTTAATAGGAGGTGCCTAAATACCTTTAAAAATCTGGCCCTTAGTCTTTCTGTGCCTCAGCTCCCATCTGTAAAACAGGGATAATCGTACAGGGATGTTGTCAGGATAAATATATTGAAGAGTGTGAGATACTCTTATGTTACAGTTGTGGAGGCCACATAAGTACATAGATAGGGACCTGGCAGACTTAAAACAGCTGGGCTAACGTGGAAGAGTCTGTCACAGTTTACAGTGGCTATTCAATAGTGCTGAATTGTAAGGCCAGGCGATTCCAATGATGTGCTCCAGGTTCTTTTTTAGATGATCAGCATGTTTCCTTATCATCCATCAGTGCCAGTGCGGGAGTCTTCACCCCAGCAGTGTGACTGTGGGCCCATGTCCATTTCTGTACCTCCTGGCAGGATGACTATCTGTGTGTGGGAGTGCCTGCTGGCAGGGTCCTGGCCGAATTCCCTTTGGAAAGATACATATGGCCTAGCTATCCCCCCATCAAGTTTAAAATAAAGTCTTCTGCCCAGAACTGCCATGCAATGTTTGTGTGGGTTTTAAATAGCTGCTGTGTTCCACCCCAGAGATAGATGCATCAGCCCTGTGGCTTACTCTTATCACTACTTTTTGTAGAGTAAATAAACCCCCCATGCATCCTGAGTGCTCCAATTCCTGTGTCTGGGCCTCCACATTATCCCCTCACTCTTGATTCCCCCCTCTTCTCATGCCATAATAAAGCGGGCGAGGAGGCTGTTGTATTTTACCATTGACAAAGATCCCTGGAAACACTGCAGATCCTTTCCGGTGCAATTTATTCCATTCTTTTTACTGTGACATGAAGCCAAGATGCTATAGAAATGCCAGAAAGAGAAAAAAGCAAAAGTTGGCACCTCCCAAGGTGGCTCTGGGGTCTAGAAGATTGCTAACAAAGTGATCTCCTTGTACACACACCTATGATCTCACACTAGTGGATGTGCTACCCTCGCCGTCTGAATATTGATACATGATCCCCGGGTAAGACTTTGGGACGCAGCTGAGTGGATGGCTCCAAAGGCTCAGGGTTCTGCATCAAGGATTTCTTGTTTGATTTCTCCCTTAAAAATGAGCACAGCCAATCAACAACTGCAAACCTCCAGGGTGGGGCAGCCCTGCTTAACAGCTGGCTTTGCTTCCATTGCAAGGCCTGTTTGAATAGACCCAGTAGGATATATTGTAAGTAACCAGGATCCTCTGGAAGCAGAGGGCTGTGCTCCTGTGGCATAAACAGGCCTCTCTCCTGCACTGGCTCTGGTCACTGCCTAGAGGGGACACATAGATAATGACCTTTAGAGACTTTTCCAATATTGCCATTGTTATCTTTGCTAATGTACAATTTTGTGATCAGTACTGGGCTTCCGGCTACAGGCTGGCAAATGTTCCCAATGAGAGTTCAGACCTAGGGATAGGGGATGCCCCCTTATCTCAGCAGCCCCAAATGTACCTTATGATGGACATCTAGAGGGCCACAAAGGCATCTCAGTTAGAAGGCGCTCCAGTCCCTGTAGGGTGACCTAGGAACTTGTAACTGTTCCTCTCTGACCACAGGCATATCACACAGTGAGCGGCCTGGAACTGAATGGAAAACACCTACAGCCTTGTACAAGGGGGCAGAAGGTTCTGCTAAATGAGATTGATAAATGTGGAGCAAATCTGACACCTAGTGGATTATTTGCATGACACAGTACTATTTCAGAGTAACAGCCGCGTTAGTCTGTATTCGCAAAAAGAAAAGGAGTACTTGTGGCACCTTAGAGACTAACCAATTTATCTGAGCATAAGCTTTCGTGAGCTACAGCTCACTTCATCAGATGCATCCGATGAAGTGAGCTGTAGCTCACGAAAGCTTATGCTCAAATAAATTGGTTAGTCTCTAAGGTGCCACAAGTACTCCTTTTCTTTTGACAGTACTATTTGCAGATGGAAGGCAGACATTCTGATCTACTCTTATCTAGGTAGCTCTCTGTCATATAGAGTTGGAACTATCATGTACGATGTCACTTTGCTAAGCAGCATATGTCTTTCTTCTTTTTGAATAAATTCCCATCGACAGCCCATTGCTGCCTTTGCTCGTCTTTTGCATACATCATTTATGTCCCATGTAAAGATATTTCTCCTCCACTCCCCGACTGCCCCCATGTGCAGTTCCTGGCCTCTTGTGTTTAGGATTGTTATTCAAGAGAAGATGTGCTGCATCCACCTCCGCTCTAATTTTAACTGTATGAGATAGTGAATAGCTAGGGGAGTTAGTTGGTCAGGACTCCTGGGGTCTGATTCTCCAATAGCCTGCACCTTGAATCCTTATTCACCCCAGAGTAGAGTAAGTGCAATGACTGCTCAAGACTCAGGGCAATGGAGAATCTGACCCCTGGTTCTGCCACTGACTTGCTCTGTGACCTTGGCCAAGTCACTTGGCTGTCAAGTCTGTACTTCGCTAAATCCAGCTGTATTAATGATCACGTATTAGTATTAGCTACATACACACTTCTGTAGTGCATGGACGGGGAAGAGTTGCCATGACATTGAATTCGTTAATGTTCGGAAAGGAATTTGAGATCTTTAGATCAGGAGGACAAAGTATTATCACTAATCTCTTTTCTAATTAATACAAGTTTTTGCCTCCAAATTACATATTCAGAGAGTCCTTATCACCCTGATTCCCTTTTCTGCATCGTCACTATTCTCCCTGTACTATTTTATGGATAATTTATGTAGGTTTTGGATTTCAGTGTGGGTACCTCTGCTTGGCTGAAGCTCATCACTGTGCTGATACAAGGGCTGAGACAGGGCTCAGAAGGGAAGGTGCCCTGTGCCTTGCCAATTTCAAGGCTGCTGAGACCAGTTTGACCCCTGGCACTAAGATGAACCCCAGCGGCAATGGCCCCTATGAGCCAGAATCACTAGGGCATAAGAACCCCATGTCCTATTTCCCCTCCCACCCTGAATGCCCCCTGCACAAGTGTCCCCTGTGGGTGTGCAGAGCCAGTAGCACCTGCAGGGGCCCAGAGGGTATTCATTGGAGGACAGCATTTCTTGGCACGTTGAATAAAACAACGTAAGCACACATCAATGGTCAGTATCACTGACACACTGGAAATTGACAACCTTTCCTCCCACTTCCACTGAAACATGCCTTCCCCACCCAAGCAGCCCCCTGAGGAAATGCCTGAGGAAACAGCTGATCTTTGCAAATACCTGAAAGGTCATGAAACGCAGACTCTGCCGCATAAAGGAGATGGGTGCATGGGTGGATGAGTTCCAGAGTCACCACGAACACCGTACTGCCAGCCTGCTGACATGCAAATCTATGCCCCGTCAGCTCAAGCATCCCAGCTGATCTTGATCCTCAAGCACAAGGGGCCCCAAATAACACACAGCTCTCCTTGTGGAGTCTAACAGTGCACAAAGCCATCTACCAAAGGGAATACAGGAATCAATTTTGACCTCATTGTGGGTTTGCACCAATGTTAGAGGAGAATGAGACCACAGATTAGTTTTATATTCACAAAGTGAAGAGAAGTAGGGTTGAAGTGGAGTCTTTACCCAAGCACTTTGATTTGTAGCTACACTACAAGATTTGACAGTGTCAACCTCTGTAATGTGCAGCATGGTGGACATGCTGAAGGTTTTTACGTTGCTGTTTCACTGCGTACATTCCTTATCTCTAGCTCTGCTGGTTACTTAGGCAGCCACCACAGGGTGGAATTTTTTGCTTGCCACTCAGCACAGCAGGTGGGGTTTCAGTTGAAGGCCTTGTGTATGAGCCACCAAAAAGATAACGATAGCTATACACATTTGATCACTCAGAGCTGGAATTCTTAGAAAGATTAAAAGAAAAACAATGGAGTATTCAGGAGGTTACATTCTAGAAAAGTTTAACAAGCACACTTCTGTACCTGCTTTAATGAGCTGATTTAGTTAGTGGGTGGAGATGATGCTGAAGGCTGAGAGGAGATATTCTTACTATGTATTTGTACAAACAGTATTGAAAATTTCAGAGTAGCAGCCGTGTTAGTCTGTATTCGCAAAAAGAAAAGGAGTACTTGTGGCACCTTAGAGACTAGTCTCTAAGGTGCCACAAGTACTCCTTTTCTTTTTAGTATTGAAAATAACAGCCAATGGGCCAACTACATTCTGCAAATCTGCAGTAGTCAATGGAGTTATCATAGGGATGAAATCTGGTCCTTTGTATGCTATTTTCCACTATTATTATTATGTTATTCCCCCACAATCGTGTGTGTGTGATATGTATTACCACGTATATGTTTCAGTCTGCCTATCACTTAATATTGCATAGAACTTATCTATCTAGACAAAGCTACTTACAGTATGTGACCAAGCTTACAAAGAAGAGAAAAAACAGCTTTCTATGTGGGGATACTGCTGTAAAAACATCCCAGCATGCAATACAGCCAAATACAAGCTATCAAGAGAGGGATATTATCTTAAACTTGGGAAGGAATTTATATTCTTGCGCTTACTACACAGTTTTTGGGCAAAGAGGTAACCCTCTGGCATTACTGCATGCTGGGATGTTTTTGTTGTAGCATCACCACAGAGAGCTGACATTTCTTTCTACCCTTGGTCACATGCTGTTTGTAGCTACATTAGACCAGCCCTTCGAACAATTTTCACTATTTTGGCTTTTCCAGGCCCCCTCTAACATTAATCCAAAGATAAAATGGAGACAGATTTCAGAGAAACAAAGAAACTGCACTGCAATTTGTCTATTTGCAGCAGAAAAGTACTCACTGAAGATTTTTCCATCGCTGATGCTGAACTTCTATTTAGTCAGTACAGGCTTAAATTTCTTTTCTCTTGGTTTGCCTTAACAGCAGTCAGGGATATAGCAGCACCTTGAGGGAGAAACATACAAAAATCAGGCCTGTGTCACAAAGTTTCAAAATTTTCTCTACACTGCATTATATATGAGAATTGGGATATTTTACTCTTTTCATCTCACACCTTCTCCCTCAACACTAAACTGGAGTAAAAAGATATGCAAGCCTTATAGGGAAAAGGTCACCACCAGATAAGGCAAAATTAATACCCAAGACAACCACAATTCACATGCCCTACCACCCAAACCCCACTATACCCAAATACAGTTATAGACTCGTCATCTGCACAATAAACCCTCTTTCAGTGCCAGCATACAAGTACCCATGATGCACACATCTAGTCCCTCCGTTACATTTAGACACTTTACCCTCTTACCCCCCACATTTTTGGGTAGACTTTTAAAGTGACAGCACGCCTCCCAATACAGTATCTTAAATTTGCTAAGGTCAGAGTTAAGCTTGCACCCTTGAATGTGATTGTGAAGAACAGAGGCTTCAGACAGTGGCCAGTACCAGATATTTCAGAGGAAGGTGCAAAAAACCCATACGGGACAATTACAAAATAACCTGCCCATAGGGGAAATTTCTTCCTGACCCCAGACAGATAGTAGCTGGCTCTGACCCTGAAAAGTGTTTTCTGTAGCTAGACAGAATTATGCTGCTCCTTTCAGTAACATCTAGTGCAGTTTCCTTTCCACCTAATCCACAGTAACATCTATAACAGGGCACATTTCCCAGTAGCGGCTTTAATCATTTTGTTAAACTCCAAAGCACTCCCATGTGCCATGCCAACATCTGTAAAAGAACAAAGGGAAACATTAAATTCACTGGAAGGGAGGGAAATGTCCCCTCTATAGGACTAGGACCAATGTTCAAAACGATTAAGCAGAACAGATATAGGCAAATTGCAAAGCTTAACAAAAATAGTTTAAAATCCCAGAGCAATAGCAAAATGTATGTGTAGTCTGGGAAATTATCAACAAATACAAGCTCATATGGAATATTTGTAAATCAGTTTCCTATTTACTTACCTGCTAGGATCTGCGTTCAGGATTCTACATTGGCACTGGTGTTTCAGATGCTGATGGCATATAAAATAACAGCTCTTTGATCTGGTTTAGGTGCTTGTGATATTAGCAACTGTTGCAGTGAAAACACAGAACCCTAGACATAGGAACTGGCAGTGAAATGGAATTTACTGCTTTCCCTTTAAAATTAACTGTACCAATCTTTAGGTTCTTCATAAAGCTTTTAGCAAAAGCTTTGCAGTCCTTTGAGAAAGGCATAACCCAGAGATCTGTGCACAGGATGGAGACCCAGGAACTCAGATCCTGACTCCTCCAGCCACCTTGGCAAGTCACATGGGGCCAGATTTAAAGAGGTGTTAAGCACCCACAGCTCCCATGGAATTTAAAAGGTGACAGAGGATGTTGAAAAAGCTAATGTACTCAATGTTTTTTTTTGCCTCTGTCCTTGTTAGGATATAGATACTCAGGCCTGTCTGTAAAGGCGTGTACTCTAAGAATTTAGGTGTATTCTTATCACTTGGCTAGTTATAGAGGTATAAAAGAAAGAATCAAAATCACTGTCTGCCAGTGTAAGGTCCTTCTCTTACTGTGACAGTCTGAGGCCCTGTGCTTAGGCTAAGGCCTTTGCCTAAGCAGCAGAGGCAGCCATAAGCTGGGAAGCGACCGGTCACATCCTCACATTCCAAACTAGTCACATTGAAATAAGGTGCTATTGGTCTGTTAGGAATACAATCCTGTCCTGATAATGCCTATCACCTCCAGAGAAAGGGAAGTGCCTAGAAGATGTAAAAGGAAACTTAGTCTGATAGGTTTCAGAGTAACAGCCGTGTTAGTCTGTATTCGCAAAAAGAAAAGGAGTACTTGTAGCACCTTAGAGACTAACCAATTTATTTGAGCATGAGCTTTCGTGAGCTACAGCTCACTTCATCAGATGTGATAGCATCCTGTCTGGCAAGAACTCACTTATCAATAGCTGGGATGTGAAATCCTAATTTCTGTGTTTGTTCTATCACTGTAGTCCCCATTTCCCCATTGTTTGTCTGTATAATCTCTGTCTTGTTCTGTGATTGTTTCTGTCTGCTGTATAATTAATTTTGCTGGGTGTAAACTAATTAAGGTGGTGGGATATAATTGGTTACATAATCATGTTACAATATGTTAGGATTAGTTAGTTAAAATGAAAAGGAGTACTTGTGGCACCTTAGAGACTAACCAATTTATTTGAGCATGAGCTTTCGTGAGCTACAGCTCACTTCATCAGATGTATACCGTGGAAACTGCAGCAGACTTTATATACACACAGAGAATATGAAACAATACCTCCTCCCACCCCACTGTCCTGCTGGTAATAGCTTATCTAAAGTGATCGACAGGTGGGCCATTTCCAGCACAAATCCAGGTTTTCTCACCCTCCACCCCCCCACACAAATTCACTCTCCTGCTGGTGCTAGCCCATCCAAAGTGACAACTCTTTACATAATCAAGTCGGGCTATTTCCTGCATAGATCCAGGTTTTCTCACATCCCCCCCACCCCCATACACACACAAACTCACTCTCCTGCTGGTAATAGCTCATCTAAACTGACCACTCTCCAAGTTTAAATCCAAATTAAACCAGAACATCGGGGGGGGGGGTAGGAAAAAACAAGAGGAAACAGGCTACCTTGCATAATGACTTAGCCACTCCCAGTCTCTATTTAAGCCTAAATTAATAGTATCCAATTTGCAAATGAATTCCAATTCAGCAGTTTCTCGCTGGAGTGAATTTGTGTGTGGGGGGGTGGAGGGTGAGAAAACCTGGATTTGTGCTGGAAATGGCCCATCTGTCGATCACTTTAGATAAGCTATTACCAGCAGGACAGTGGGGTGGGAGGAGGTATTGTTTCATATTCTCTGTGTGTATATAAAGTCTGCTGCAGTTTCCACGGTATACATCTGATGAAGTGAGCTGTAGCTCACGAAAGCTCATGCTCAAATAAATTGGTTAGTCTCTAAGGTGCCACAAGTACTCCTTTTCTTTTTGCGAATACAGACTAACACGGCTGTTCCTCTGAAACCTGTCATTAGTTAAAATGATTGGTTAAGGTATAGCTAAGCTGAACTCAAGTTTTACTATATAGTCTGTAGTCAATCAGGAAGTGAGTGAGTGAGTGGGGGGGGGGATGGGAAAAGGGAACAGGGGTGGGGAAATTGGAATTATGTTTAGCTAAAGGGGGAAATGGGAACAGGGACACAGGAAAGCCTCTGTGATGTCAGAGCTGGGAAGGGGGACACCAAGGAAGGAAACTAGAGCCATGCTTGCTGGAAGTTCACCCCAATAAACATTGAATTGTTTGCACCCTTGGACTTTGGGTATTGTTGCTCTCTGTTCATGAGAGAAGGACCAGGGAAGTAAGTGGGTGAACGAATAAGTCTTCACGAACAAGGTCAGCTCCCAGACTACTGCACCGGGCAGCACAGTATGGGGAGGAGGTGACTAGCCCTCTGTGGAGAAAGAAGTGGTTCAGGGCTATTTAGAAAACCTGGACGAGCACAAGTCCATGGGGCTGGATGCGTTGCATCCGAGGGTCTAAAGGAGTTGGCAGATGTGACTGCAGAGCCACTGGCCATTATGTTTGAAAACTCATGGTGATCGGGGGAGGTCCCGGATGACTGGAAAAAGAATAATGTAGTGCCCATCTTTAAAAAAGGGAAGGAGAAGGATCTGGGGAACTACAAGGCAGTCAGCCTCACTTCAGTCCCTGAAAAAATCCTGGAAAAATCAGGTCCTCAAGGAATCAATTTTAAAACACTTAGAGGAGAGGAAAGTGATCAGGAACAGTCAGCATGGATTCACCAAGGGCAAGTCATGTCTGACTAACCTAACTGCTTTCTATGATGAGATAACTGGCTCTGTGGATGAGGGGAAAGCAGTGGACGTGTTATTCCTTGACTTTAGCAAAGCTTTTGACATGGTCTCCCACAGTATTCTTGCCAGCAAGTATGGGCTGGATGAATGGACTACAAGGTGGATAGAAAGCTGGCTAGATCATCAGGCTCAACGGGTAGTGATCAATGGCTCCATGTCTAGTTGGTAGCCGGTATCAAGTGGAGTGCCCCAAGGGTCGGTTTTGTTCAATATCTTCATTAATGATCTGGAGGATGGCATGGACTGCACCCTCAGCAAGTTTGCAGATGATACTAAACTGGGAGGAGTGGTAGATAAGCTGGAGGGTAAGGATAGGATACAGACGGACCTAGACAAATTAGAGGATTGGGCCAAAAGAAATCTGATGAGGTTCAACAAGGACAAGTGTACCAAGTGCACTTAAGACGGAAGAATCCCATGCACTGCTACAGACTAGGGACCGAGTGGCTAGGCAGCAGTTCTGCAGAAAAGGACCTAGGGGCTACAGTGGACGAGAAGATGGATATGAGTTCACAGTTTGCCCTTGTTGACAAGAAGGCTAATGGCATTTTGGGCTGCTTTCCCTTTAGGAAAGTAGGAGCACTGCCAGCAGATCAAGGGACATGATCATTCCCCTCTATTCGGCACTGGTGAGGCCTCATCTGGAGTTCTGTGTCCAGTTTTGGGCCTCATACTACAAGTGTTGGATCATATTAAAGAAGTTCTGTATTAAAATCACAAATGAGTTTGATTCCCCATAGTTTAAATTCCAGGGTATTACTAATTAAGAGGTCTCTTGGTTTTTGGTACTGTTTCTCTCCCTCTATGTGTGAAACTTACAAGCTGCTAATTGTGTTAGTACATTCTAAGACAGAGTCTGTTCTCAAAGCAATTCACAGAGAGAGAGAGACTCAAAGCAATACTCTAACAACAGAAACAGCACCCAGAGACTCCCCACCCTTTTGTTGTATTAACAATTGTGATTAAAATAGAGATAGAGGATGTATATGGATGGATGCTTGGTGTGGATAATAACTGAATGATCAGGGAGGTGCCAGCCTAAGAATCCAGTGTCCATCGGCTGAAGAAGGCGTCAAGTGGAAATAACCAGAGGGCCCCCGGAGGGCAGACTGGAATCCACCCAACAGCCTCAAGAATGGGAGAACCAAAGAACAAGATAACATCTTGGAGTCATCAGGAATGTGCTATCTGCTGATTGATTCAGCAACAGCATGATGAAGCAATTCCCATAGAATGCCATAGGAAGAAATTCCTATAAAAATAGACTCTAAAAAGTGAGAACTTTGGGGTCTGATTCTGCAAACCAACTTCCAGGAGCATCAGATGAGCATCTGACAAGGCCCTGCTCCCTCCTCATGTCCAGGCCACCTGGCCAGTGGCTTGGCATGAGCAACTCTAAGGCTGGTAACTATGATAACAACCTTGCAGAACCTGTGTGTGTGTTTGTATGAATGAATGTGTGAATAAATATGAGATTGAATGGAATGTTATAACTATAACTAACTGCTTACTATGATTCTTTCTGTATTCACAATAAATGTGGTATTTTGCCTTTTCCTCTTTAATAAGATCCTGCTGGTTTTTATTTTATTGGTATAACACAAGAAGGATGTGAAAAAATTTGGAAAGAGTCCAGCAGAGGGCAACAAAAATGATTAGGGGGCTGATTTATGAGAAGAGGCTGAGGGAACTGGGATTATTTAGTCTGCAGAAGAGAAGAGCGAGGGGGGATTTGATAGCTGCTTTCAACTATCTGAAAGGGGGTTCCAAAGAGGATGGATCTAGACTGTTCTCAGTGGTAGCAGATGACAGAACAAGGAGTAATGGTCTCAGGTTGCAGTGGGGGGAGGTTTAGGTTGGATATTAGGAAAAACTTTTTCACTAGGAGGGTGGTGAAGCACTGGAATGTGTTACCTAGGGAGGTGGTGGAATCTCCTTCCTGAGAGGTTTTTAAGGTCAGGCTTGACAAAGCCCTGGCTGGGATGATTTAGTTGGGGTTGGTCCTGCTTTGAGCAGGGGGTTGCACTAGATGACCTCATGAGGTCCCTTCCAACCCTGATATTCTATGATTCAGCACTTGTTTAAATTAAGCCCTTAACCTTTGCTTCGGTATCCTCATCCATAAAAATGGCAGTAATAACACCTACTTCCCAAGGTATAGAGAAGACTATAGCACTAAGTATTAAGAAGAATAATGATTAGTTCATCTTAAGAAGAAAACCCAATATGAATTTTGAAGCCCGGGGACTACAGGTATCTGGGAGCTCATAAATTACCTCAATGTACGTTCCAGTTTGAAAGACTTTCTTATACTCACAGCAGGTAACAAACACAGCAAATATCAACAGGCTATTCATCTCTATGATGGACCTGAAAATAGAGAGCAAACAAAATCAAACCTTCTCTTCAAAGATGTATCTGCGCTGAATCATTAGCCCAGAGTTTAAATAATATTTGGGGCAGTTTATTATTCCATTGACAACAGATAAAAGATCCTTTTAACACAGCAAGCAAACAGTGGTGTTAAACGTAAACATGTGTGTGCCGGAGATGTCAAAGTGAAGATGCCTGCCGAAGGATGATCAGTAAATTTGAATATGACAAGCATTCTGAGATGCTTTGATCCGACACATTATTGTAATCTGTTTGTTGTTAAGCAGTATTTCCTCATTTATGTTTAGTGTGCCAACACGCCTTGATCTTCTGACACTGGTTGGGTAGATGTCCCAGTTTATCCGTGTTTCTTTTCTCTTTAGTTATTTATGACCTATTTGTTGCTCCTTACTAGGAGACCCAGTCGTCTGTTAATTCAGAGATGTATGTTTGTTAATGGGTAAAGCATTTGGTTAACATGAAACATTTACAAAGGAAAAAGAAAATACAGAGATATCAAAATGTCAATAATATCGAACAGGTGCTTCTTTGTGCAGTGCAGCTGTAAAACATATTGAGTCAGGTATCATTTGTATAGTCTGAGCAATGGAAAAAAGACACACAGACAAGTACCTCCAGGTCTCAAAACTGAAGGTGTGTTGCCGTTTTTAAAAGGGGGTTTTTAAAGGGTTGAGCTTGATTTTTTTTCAAACTCAATAGAATTACACCAGTCTAAAACTGGTATGAATGAGAGGAGAATTAAGCCCTAATCCTGAGGTCCTTACTCTGATACCCTTCCCTGCATCAGGTAGTAGATTACACTGTGAATAATCCCAATTAACTCCATGGGACTACTTGTGTAAATAATAGATTATTCAAGATAACTAAGGGTGGCAGAACTAACCCCTTGATATTTACACAGACCTCACTCAGGTAAAGCTCCCATTGACTTCAGTGGGAGTTTGTCTTAGTAAATCCTCCACAGAATGAAAACTGAACACCATATCCTGAGCTGGTGTAAATGGAGCTGAGGACCTGGTCCTAAGGGAGGACTTCAGGTTTGGGCCCCAGATGAATAGATATGTGTTCTCAATTGTTTTTAATGTAAATGAAAAGATTTAATTTGGGATTGAAAACATTTCCCCTGTAGCATTGGAAACCTAAACAATAGCATCGTGGTAATGCCGTGGGGTTCTATTCTTTCCCCATAGGATACAAGGAATGAGGGTTACTCATAGCAAGCCACAGGAGAACATGGTCCCATAAAATAAACCTTTAATGTGAAATCTTTGTACATGAATAAGAAAGTAACAAATGGCCAAATTCAACCCTGCTGTAAAACTTCACTGACTTCAGTTTGGCTCTTGTGTGTGAATTCTTGATAGTAAAACATATGATTTCATAACTGAAGCCAAAACACTATAATTTGTCTTTACACTGCTGTATGTTCTTCATTTGTTTGTTTGAATATTTTGCTTCTTTTTCCCCTTGGAGTATCCTTGATCTGTCCTATTGTCACTGTTAAGGAGGGAGTGATCTCTATAAACAGTCACATAAAACTATTTTTTTAAACAGATTTAACTTTTTCACTAAAGTCTGAGATAAGCCTTCTGCATTTAATATTACTTTGTAACTACTTTCAGAGTAGCAGCTGTGTTAGTTTGTATTCGCAAAAAGAAAAGGAGTTATTTGAGCATAAGCTTTCGATGAAGTGAGCTGTAGCTCATGAAAGCTCATGCTCAAATAAATTTGTTAGTCTCTAAGGTGCCACAAGTACTCCTTTTCTTTTTGTAACTACTCTACATATTACTTTCATAGCTAGAGATTTTTAAAATGTCAGCTCAGATTTCAAAGTTAATGGGCCATATCCTCAAGTAGTACAAGTTGGCATAGTGCCTTTTGCTTCAATGAAGCTATGTCAATTTACATCAGCTGAGGTCCGGGCACAATATTTAACAAAGAAGAACTTGGTTTTTAATGGCTATATATTACATTCAAATACAAAGAACGAAGCTTCCACAATTCTAAAAAGGGCTGTTCTTTTATGGAGGTCCAAACTTCAGACTTAAAAATAATTCAGAATATTTAGAGACATTACACAGCCTCGGAGCAAAATCAATATATAATATAGGACCTACCAATCCTGACGATAAACTTAAAAAAAATTAAGTATATTTTCCATCTTAGAAGATCCTTTCACTTTGGACCCCGATAATTCTTTTGCAATAACAAAAGCCACACCAACATAGATCAAATGCTATTTCTTTTCCTTAGTTGTTCTTGTGCATTATTTTCTTTAGACCTGTGCTTACTTTTGGTTGTTTTGTGGTGGTGACTTGTGCTTTTAGGGCGAAGCATTGTTAGCGCTCCCAATTCCCCATTGCCTTGCAACCTGTGGCAAGAGTTACTTTAAACGGAGTATAAAATGTTCCCCTCCTGGTTCGGAAGCATCTCACCCCCCCTTTTCCTAGGTGTCAACAGTGACACTAATGGAGAAGCAGGCATAATAACTCTGATACAGATACAGACGTGCGTGTTCCTGATGTGTCTATACTCCCCCATCTGATTTCCTGGATTTCTCTATCCATCCTCTTTAAAAACAGGTTCCTTATTTAGTTCTTCTTTTCCTCTTGGTTTCTCTTTGGTCTCTCCTTCCCGTCTTACTTTTTGGTGGTTGATTTTTTCAGACCTTTTTACCCTCTGCATGGCTGGCACTACATTTTCAACCCTGGCCATTGTGCAAGTCTGTGAACTTTAAACAAAATCCTATTGCAGAGCAGAAACATCTAACCTGGTGAAGATGCATTAACAACATCACTGAGTTGTGGTGCAGCACTGCAATGACGGAACAAACCCATCATTCTGACATAGGATCATAGAATATCAGGGTTGGAAGGGACCTCAGGAGGTCATCTAGTCCAACCCCCTGCTCAAAGCAGGACCAATCCCCAATTAAATCATCCCAGCCAGGGCTTTGTCAAGCCTGACCTTAAAAACTTCTAAGGAAGGAGATTCTACCACCTCCCTAGGTAACACAGCCTCTCCTCATAAGTCATGTGTTCCAGACCCCTAATCATTTTTGTTGCCCTTCGCTGGACTCTCTCCAATTTATCCACATCCTTCTTGTAGTGTGGGGTCCAAAACTGGACACAGTACTCCAGATGAGGCCTCACCAATGTTGAATAGAGGGGGACGATCACGTCCCTCGATCTGCTCGCTATGCCCCTACTTATACGTCCCAAAATGCCATTGGCCTTCTTGGCAACAAGGGCACACTGCTGACTCATATCCAGCTTCTCGTCCACTGTCACCCCTAGGTCCTTTTCCGCAGAACTGCTGCCTAGCCATTCGGTCCCTAGTCTGTAGCTGTGCATTGGGTTCTTCCATCCTAAGTGCAGGACCCTGCACTTATCCTTATTGAACCTCATCAGATTTCTTTTGGCCCAATCCTCCAATTTGTCTAGGTCCCTCTGTATCCTATCCCTGCCCTCCAGCGTATCTACCACTCCTCCCAGTTTAGTATCATCCGCAAATTTGCTGAGAGTGCAATCCACACCATCCTCCAGATCATTTATGAAGATATTGAACAAAACCGGCCCCAGGACCGACCCCTGGGGCACTCCACTTGATACCGGCTGCCAACTAGACATGGAGTCATTGATCACTACCTGTTGAGCCGGACAATCTAGCCAACTTTCTACCCACCTTATAGTGCATTCATCCAGCCTATACTTCTTTAACTTGCTGACAAGAATACTGTGGGAAACCGTGTCAAAAGCTTTGCTAAAGTCAAGAAACAATACATCCACTGCTTTCCCTTCATCCACAGAACCAGTAATCTCATCATAGAAGGCGATTAGATTAGTCAGGCATGACCTTCCCTTGGTGAATCCATGCTGACTGATGCATGATGACATGATGCAGTGTAGCAAAGTAGATCTGTTTCGTGGCCCCAAATAATTTTACTCCTGCTTGCATAGTGTGAGATCTGTCTGGTAAGCACTTATTTATGTATTCTAGCATCTGGGGTAGCCAACAGATTGGGTCAAAACCAGGCTGCATAACCCCCCCACAACTTTAATCCAGCCAAAGCCCTCCTGCTTCCCCTAGAGCAGTGGTCACCAACCCGTCGACTGCAATCGACTAGTTGATCCTGGGGACTCTCCCAGTCGATTGCAATCTCTGGCGGTGTAGTGGGGCTCCCACTAAAGCAGGCTCCAGGTCTGCCGCGGCCCCACACCACTCCTGGAAGTGGCCAGCACGCCCCCAAGGCCCTGGGGGGGCAGAGATCTCTGTGCTCTGCTCTTGCCTGCAAGCACCACCCCTGCAGCTCCCAATGGCTGGGAACGGAGGACCACACTGGCTGCAGCTGGGGAGTCTGGGGTGGGACTGGGGATGACGGGGTTGGGGTGCAGGAGGGGGCTCAGGGCTGGGAGGCAGTGTGGGATGCAGGCTCCAGGAGGGAGTTTGGATGAGGGGGGCTCAGGGGTAGGGCTGGGGGTTGGAGTGTGCGGAGTATGCGGAGTATGCGAAGGAGCTCAAGGCTGGGCCAGGGAGTTTTGGTGCAGGAGTGGATTCAGAGTGCAGGCTCTGGGCAGCGCTTACCTCAGGTGACCCTGGTAGCGGCCCACATGTCCGACTCCTAGACGGAGGGGCCAAGTGGCTCTGTGCACTGCCCACACCTGCAGGTGCCGCCCCCGCAGCTCCCATTGGCCTCAGTTCCCAGCCAATGGGAGCTGGGGAACTAGTGCTCAGGGCGGGGGCAGCGTGCAGAGCCCCAGTGGCTGCTTCCGTGCCTAGGAGCCGGACACGCCGGCCGCTTCCAGGAGCCGCGGGGAGCCAGGAAACCTGCCTTACCCCACTGTGCCACCGACCAGACTTTTAGCGGTCTGGTCACCGGCGCTGACCAGAGCCGCCAGGGCCCCTTTTCGGCTGGCCGAAAACCGGACGCCTGGCAACCCTAGGTTGCGCCCCTAGTGCGCTAGGTGCTGTACACACCTGGACCACGGCCACAGAGGCAGTGTTAGCCCAGAGAGGCCCTAAGCAGGAATATTCCCCCCTCCCCATAATACTAAGGGAAGAGGGCTGAGAGCCGGCAAGGTGCACGGAGCATCCTCACGGATTTCCTGGGGGGCAGCGTGCCCCGGAGGGGCCGAGCCCCTGCCGCCCCCGCACTGCGCTGCGCTGTGTTGTGACACCACGGGGCGTTACCATGGTGACGTGAGGCCTGGGAAGGACCCTCCCAGCCCGGCAGGGGCCCCCCCGGCTGAGCCCAGCCCAGGACCCTGGTCACGCCAGAGCGGAATGGCGGCCCTGGCGGCGGACACCGTTGTGGGGGCGGGGAGGGGGTACGCTCTAGCCAGCCTTCCCTGTGCTCTCTTTGGTTCGGGCGGGGAGGGGTCTCCTTTGTTCCGGTCACTGCCGGAAGTGGGTGACGGGCGGGGCCGGTTGCCGTGGCAACGCGGGGCTGTTTACCGGCGGGGCTGGGCGCGGGCCGCCGGATGGAGCGGCGCGGAGGTGAGAGACGGGGACCAGCCGGGCGGCCCCGTGTGCGCCCGCGGGCCCTTCCCCGGGGGCCCCTCCTCGCCTGGGGGGGGGGGGGCGAGACTCTTTGCTCCTGGGATGCCCCCTCCCCCCCAGCAGGGACTCCCCCGTCCCTTTCGGGAGCCCCTCGCCCGACCAAGCACCCCCCTGGGCTCCTTCCCGCCCCGTCCCGCTCTCCGCCCCGGGCCCCGGCTTGCTGGGGGTGGGGACCCTCGGGACAGACACTTCTTGGACTCCGCCCCCCCCCGGGGCGCACAGAGTCCCCCCCCCCTACCTCCCCCCGAAACTCGAGCTCCTGAGGGCGGCAGGTGTGGCCTAGTAGCTCGAGCCCTGGACTGGGAGTCTGGGGAGACCTGGTCCCGGCTCCGCCCCTGGCCTGCTGGGTAACCTCGGGCAAGTCCCTTCCCCTCAGTTTCCCCCCTGACCCTCCTCTGCGAAACGTTGTGTCCCAGCTGGTTGGGAGCTTCCCTTGGAGGTCAGCTGATGGAAAGTGCGAGCCAAGAGCCGGGGGCGCGGGGGGCGTTATCTGAAAAATGGATTTTCAGAGGCGCCGAGCCGCTCCGGATGGGAGCTCAGCGTGGCTGAAAAAAATCACATCCAGTGCGACTGAAGTGAGGCACCCAAAACCTGAAGGCCTCAGAATTGGTGGCCACTTTTGAAAGCTTGGGCCTCTTAGTACCACACCCAAAGTGCATCCTTTAGAGTCCTAAATGCTGACCAGTGGGCGTCCTGTCTTGTAACTGTAGCATGAGGACGAAGCAGATCAGCTGCAGGTTTGAGTACTCCTGCACGCAAATGACAATGCAGCTTCTGTTCACCAGTCAAGGGGATTTGTGTATTTATTGTTGATTTAACTAACTGTGTAAACATATTCAAAATGCATGTAGCCCTTGGGCTACTGGCTAGTTGCCAGTGCTGCCCTCACCAAATTAGGGCTCCCCTGGACTAAGCTTTAGATGCCACCACAATTGCACAAAGTCAAGAAAGATCGAGTCAAGTGAGTATTGGATTGCTTGCTTGGTAATTATACCCATTTGTTCAAAAGAACTCCCTGTCCTCTCCATTTTCTATGCCCTTTGGGAAAGCAGTAACTACTGTCTTGGGTCTTCAGCTGCTTAAAATCGTATTAATACAGTGCACAGCTCTATTAATATGGGCCTCTGATTGAGAAACCCAGGTTTAAAATGTGTCTTGTTTAAAGACCGGTGTGACAATTTTAAATGCGAAACATTTACTTTAAAATGAAATGATGCTGTCCAGCACTCAGAAGATGCAAACAGAATTTCTTAGAGGATTATTCATAATTTTGCTCACTGTCAGGATATTTCTAGACAGCTGGTAACTCTGATTTGCCATGTTCAAGAATCCTTCTTTGAAGGGGTGTAAGACCATGGCTTTTATTTCTTCATATTTGCTAAACTCAGGGTTGTGAGTTCAATTCTTGAGGGGGCCATTTAGGGATCTGGGGAAGGGGGTTGGACTAGATGATCTCCTGAGGTCCCTTCCAACTCTGATATTCTGTGGTTCTGGGATATTGATTTTGCTGCCTTCTAGTTTATTTGAAGATATTTCAAACCAAATAACACTCCTGCCCTTTTAATATACTCCTAGGAAATTATTATTGGTGACTTAGATTTTGTGTCCAGATTATTACGGTCAGTCAGCTTGGCTGTACGTTTATTGTGTTGTAAGTAAATAGATCACTTATTCAAGTGGCTGAATGATGATTATTGTACCTTAGAACAGTTTAATAGTGAAAGCATGTCAAGGCACACCTGTACATTGAGACTGTACTTTGTCTTTGCTAGACATTGTTTAATTTACTGATCATTTCCATTTCACTGAAACAATAGAGGAAGGCGAAGAAACAAGGTGTTAAATAACGCATCACTGGCAAAAGGCCTATGAGCATCTGGTTTTCCAACTCTTGTTAATTTGATGAATACGGTGGAACATGAATGTTGGCATCCCCCTTGGAGTAACAGACGGTTTATGCACTTGAGAAGAGGCGTTGGATTATGAAGGTGGGTTAGATGGCGGGGGTGGGGAGGGCAGCTTTCCCTGCAGAGGAGTGTAAATCCAAATAAACCTGCCATTGCTAAAGACTGGTCATTCCCAATATTTTGTTTGGTTTTGGGGTAGCCAGCGTGTGACAGTGGTCTCAAGGTGCCATTATAGCATCCAGGGATTGCCAGGTCATGTGGAAAACTTGCCCCTTTTCCCTTGGCCAAAACACCCTTACCAAGCAAGCGGGTGGTGTAGGCATCATTAGCCTAACTCTAAGCCACTGAACAATCCTCCTATTCAGGGGTGATCCTGCTGTGGCTCTAAGGCTGCTTTGCATTGTTGGAGCAAAGTGGTCTCATTGCAGCTGAGGATCAGAGCCACTGAGTAGAATTCTACTCCATCTTTATTAGAAGTAACACCCATTAAGGAGATGAGCTTCAAGGTCTTTTGATTGGTCACTTACAACAGGCTTCAGTGGATTGAATCAGCCATAGTCGCTCAAAAGACTTAAATAAGAGACTTCAAAATTTTTTAAAAGCCAAAGTGCAGTCAGTCTTACCTAAAAGTCCACACTGGGAACTTAATTGACACCGCAGAAACAGCAATGATTTCATATCTGCTCCTCCACATACACTCGTTTGCCACATTCAATAAGTGAATAACAACAGAATAAAAAATGTTTTTCACTAAAACCTTTGTACGAACTGACACGTGCACAACTGGCTACACTACAGAGTTATCCTGGGATTGGGTTGGCGCACGCAGGTTAGTCTAGCCTGGGTGTGAGCATTCCCACAGCAAAGCCCTGCCCTCAGAAAACGGGGGGAGCGGAGATTAAAAAAAGGTGCCACCCGCTAGTACTCACCCGAGGGCACTCCAGGTCTTCGGCGGTGGGTCAGGCGGCGCTCCGGGTCTTCAGCAGCATTTCGGCAGCGGGTCCTTTACTCACTCTGGTCTTCGGTGGCACTGAAGGACAATCCTCCCACCACCGCAATGCTGCCAAAGACTGGAGTGAGTGCCGCCGAAGACACTACTGTCCGTCCTCTGCATCTGTACTCCCTCGTGTGTCTGGGGGCAGAGCCCATGGTTCTTTGAGATGCTCTAGGATCCTTTCATGGTTTTGTCAGTTGTGGGAGATCTTGCCTGTCCTCCAGGGAGTAGAAAAGGGGAATTGTGGGAAGGACATAAAGGATTACACAAATCGCATCCTTACTGCAAAATAGGCAAGTTCCAGCCAGAGCTAAAGCACTACTTGAGCTACAACTCATACCCCGACCATGCAAGCAAGCATGGGTTCAAAGTGCAAAATAGGCACATGCTTGATGGTATTGGCATTTGGGAGCACGGGTTAAAGCTACAGGTAGACATACCCTTAGAGAGGAAGGACTGTGGATAAAACACTGGTCTGAGACTCAAGAGTTCCTGGCTCTACCACAGGCTTGTGTGATCTTGGTTAAGGATAATAATACTTCCTCTCACCCACCCTTAGTGTCTCTTATCTGTTTGTCTGGGGCAGTTACTGTCTCATAGTGCATGGTGCCTAGCACAAGTGGGCCCCAACCCCAGCTGGTGACTCTAGACGTAACTGCAAGATAAATAATAACACCCCATTCCATCTATTAAAATAAAGGCTTCTCCTACTTTAAATCCTTGAAGACCAGTAAGAACACTTAGCACTTGATATACAGTGCTGTGCAAACATTAATATACAGCGTATACTATGTAAACAGATTTAAAACCTCTCTTTTGTTATCTGGCTTTGATATTTGAACTTCCCAAGAATCATGGTTCTGATTCCAGCGGGACTGACTCACCCATTTATCATTCTGATCTCAGTGAATGGAGTACCATGCTTCATGGGGACCTTTCTCATGAGACCTGAAAAAACCCCACCAAGGTTTTATCTGCTCTGCTCTATTATTAAAAATCCCATGGCACTTTTCACTGCTCTGGCGTCCTTTATCAGCATTTCCCTTCCTCTGTTGTGCAGCTGACCACAGCCCTTCATCCCAGATGTGGCTGCATCATATTGTGAGTACATAGCTTGTAAGGCACTTTGGGATCCTTCCAGATAAAACCCATTTTTGTTTGTTCCTACAAGGAACCTTGATCTGTTACAAAGCCAGCATCTGGGAATGCATGCCACAAACTTGATACTTGACACAGCAACAGTGCTGTTCTGTAATCTCCCTACACACAGTGAATCAACACATGCCAGGATACCCTACTATTGTGTTAAACACAGTGCAGCATAAAAACAGGGGTACTCTAGTGAAGTAAAATGCGTAGAGATTTGACTGATTCCTGTAACTTTTTTCTTCCCTCTGTCACCCCTTCTACAGGTGTCTTGAGAAGCAATGGCCACAGTAGCACCTCTGAACATAGCACCATCTGAATGCAACACCACTTCGGGCACTGCAGAAGCTTTCATTTGGAGGTCAAACACCATCAATATGCATGTTACCCGGCCGAAATCTGCCAAGGGACGTACAAGATCAAGCTTGAATTACTCCCATAGTGTGGAGGCCTATTCTTATAGAGTGCCATCCTCTCCTCAGCCAGCAGCTCCCTATGAAGCAGCAAGCAATCAAAGAGCATCATCTACCAAACCAACTTACCAGCCTGGGCAGGTGTCTCCTGATGAAATCCCAGAGCTCCTCCAACAAGTACCCTTGAGGACCTCCTCTTCCCTAAATAAGTACAGAGTGCTCCCGTCCATCAGCAGGAAGGGCTTGGGGAAGAGTGTTGTGGAAACAGTGATCGAACAGACCAACAAACTGAAAATGAGTAGTAGACAGGAGGAGGAGCAACCATCCAAAGCTCTTCCTGAAGAGGAAAAATCCACTGGTATAATGACAGAGAATGAAGGGGCTAGAGGGGAATACTCAAAAGTCCAACCTCCCATTTCTGAGAAGAAGCCGTTAAGGAAAACAAGAGAAGAAAGCTCTTCATCAGTTTTAAACTTGGAGGAGCCACTGAAGAAAGAACCAAGACTGCTGCTTGCCGTTAGGTCTCCTTCTGGTCAAAGATTTGAACATCACTTCAGGCCTACAGACAGCCTTCAGACGGTCCTTGCTGTGGCAGAACAAAAGCACACAACCAAATACAAACACTGTCGTGTTGAAACGATGGAAGTGCCTAGGAGGAGCTTTCCTGACCTTACAAGGTCCCTGCAAGAGTGCGGGATCCCACACAAGTCAGTGTTGTGCATTCTCCAGGAAGTGCAAGATGGAGATCTCTAAATGTACAGTGATGTTACACAACTTCCATCACCCCTTAGCATGTAACTCTATTGGATGCCATGGACTTCCCTTTGATGAGTGGTCTAAGAACTGAACCAGCCTGATCTGTTTCAGTGGTCTACTTCTTAGTCCCACTGTCTTCTGAGTGCTTCCCTTGAAGTAGACTTGTATATAAATGGAGTGTGCTGAAATACTTAATTATTTTAAAGTGTATGTACACACCACCCAAGAGTATCTATTTTTTCCATGTGTACAATCACAATTCACTTTAAGAGTGGGCATCAGCTTCTGGGCTTTGTAGTATTTCTAAATGGTTTTAAAAAGAGTTTCTATTCCTCTGGGAAGACCCACTTTTCTGATGCCCTCTCTTCTGGTGGTGGGAGGCCTGTCTCGTCTTCTCTGGTTTTGCTCCAGGAATGCACCACCTCCCCAAATTAAGTCTGAGTCAGGATAATACATGGAGCTGGGAAGACACAAGCAGCACTATTTTGATTCCTTAAAGCTATAGGAATGGCCTTCATAATAAAGTAGCTTGTTGGCTGCAAGAACAGCTACAATGGTCAATACACAGAAAATGGTCTCAAAGCAGTAACTCCAAACAGTTGGTGAGAGTAAATATGTTGCTGGGATGTGTTAAAAGTACAAGGTCAATGGTAAAGTACATTCAAGAATCAAACCATTCCTGTATAATCTCAGTGTTTTGAGTACGCCTACTTTGTCTTCTCATAAAAGGAAAGTCATGGTTAAGGTGGTCTGATTCCTCTATGGATACAAGGACGACTTTTTTTTTTAAACTCATTAGCTTTCTTTCTTCAGTGAGTGCGTAAGATTGTGATGCACACCTGTAAATCAAGAAATCCAGAGCTAAGGGTGGATTGTCTGCTGTAACTTTGAATTTCAGTGCTGTTTGCTACTGCAATTTAACGTTTTTAAATTGAACTGCATTAAGCTGAGCAATTACCTGTTGCTTTTGTGTTTTGGCTAAATACATAAAGGAAGCGTTCTGCTGGGGCTGTTATCTACCGAATAGACTGTGCCTCAAACTATTGGGACTCTTCTAGAGCTATTTATTTTCTATAGTTCAGAAAAATCAACCTGTTCAAGTAGAACGGCTTGGCCCTGTGGTTTTGTATTAACGCAGCTGCTGTGCATGTGCTAAAAAGCCTCATTTTTTAGTGGAAAATGTTCCTGTCCAGGTGCAGTCGCTGAGTTTGAACACCCAGTGTAATAAAAGAATGGATCAGGCTACCTGACCGGCCACCTTGCCAAATAATAGGCTCCTTTTGAGTATTACAGGTGAAACAAAGGCAGTGTTTTTGCCTCTCTGTAATGGCCAAACCAACCTTTTGTAAAGGATGGTAGAATATTTGCTCTTTACTGTGATCACATATGCTGAATTTCAGTCAAAAGCAAATATTCATAGGCCAGCAATTAAGCCCCATAGAACAAGACAGCTGCTGAAATACTAGCACTACCTGATGCTGCAAGTGGTGACACTGGTCTGTTGACTTCAACAGCAACATTTAGAGGACTACACTAAGCTAGAAGCATTCTCAACTGCCTTCGGGGGTATAACTGTATCAGAGGTTTCTAATGAGGATTACAACTAAGCGAGCTAGGAACATGGTAAAAAGAATGTTTCACTATGAAAATTGCCAAGAGCAATGGGAAGAACAAACTAACTGTATGATTAATTTTTTACATGGAAGAATACAGCCTATTCTGCTCTGAACTTAGCATTGGCTGTTTGTGAGAGATGGCTGGTTCAAGTGGCAGAATGGAGTGTAGTGTTGTTGGCCAGCACACCGCAGCATAGAAGAGCCCGCTAATGCTAAAGAATGCAAACCACCTCCATAAGCAAAGTGTTCAGTTCTTTTTGAATAAATCTGTGCTATTAATTGGTGGCTTCCTACCCCCTTTTTAAATATTTAGTTGTGAAATGTGACCAAAGCTCTGTAAGATGTTACCACAGTCATTGCTTCCTCCTCTACAGGGAGTCCAGATGGTTTTCAAACCTTTTCCACTGTAATGCACCTGTTCGTCACATCTTGGCTAGGATAAAGGGAATATCAGGATAGTGTCCTGAAGAACTTGGCTATGAAAAAATCAGTGAGCAACTTCACTGGAAACTATAGCTTGTTGCAGGCATTGTTTCAGTAACTACTGCAGATTTTATGCATTGATATAATCTCTTCCCCCACAGATCAGCTAGGCTAAGGGAAGTGGTGGAAAAATCAGACTTAAAGCTATAAAACAAATACTGGGTCAAGTACAGTCAATTTACTGTTTGAGATGTGTGTATGATGTTACATTTAAACAATGTTAAATAAACTGTTTTAAGTGTGAAGCTAAGACCAGCAAAGATTTCCTGAGTGCAACTTGGATTTGAAATCAATGGTTTGCATGAACTAGAGGTTTCACTTTACCACATTTCCTCATACTTTTAACAGCATGTTCAATTAGTCTGTTAACACATGTGGACGAGAGTAATAATCAGCCTTTCTAGAGAAACAAGTCAGGCTTCCACAATTCTACTCCTACATCACTGCACTCAAGCAGTCCTGCAAAAGCTTAATCCGATTTTTCCTCTGTCTTCCAGCAGGAAAGAGTTGTTAACCTGTGTTGTAGGCAGGCAGTGAACTGTTTTAGAATTCAAATTAATAGACAGGACTATATATTTCATTGGTAAAGACTATGTAAGCAGGGAGGGCTAAGCTGAAAGACAGGCCAGGCCAGAGAGCTGATAAAGGACAACCAGTGGAGAAAATAAGTGAAGAGAAGGGGATGATCAGGATGATTGGCTGGAAAGATCTAGCAGCAGTATTTTGAGTGGCTCCCCAAAAACAAAGAGGTAGGTGCCTTAATGGCCATGGACGATTTAAATTTAGCACCTACCTCATTCAAGTTTTATCCTTTAGTGCTTAGGTACCACTAAGGTCTTTGCCAGGAAAAATCCTGGCATCAAGAAAGACATTAGGGAAGAATAGAATTAATCTGATCTCATTAGTTATCCAATATAGTTTAATGATAAATGGCTGGTGGGATGCTGCCATAGCTTGACACTGAAAGCATCTGGGAAATACAGCAGCTCAGTTACACTAATCTCATATTTCACAGTGGAATTCACCTGGGAGTATTCCAATAGGAAGCACTGCCAGAACTCCATCTCCATCAAGTCCTCTACACAAGACATTAGAGAGCAAACGGATGCCAGAGTCAAAGACTAACCGAGGCACAGTTCAGTACGTGTTCTTTATTCCAATTAAAAGTACATTACAAACAGCACACAGGATCAGCAGCAGCGTTCATGACAGTTCAACCCAATGCACTGCTGTCACAAGGTCATTCAGCTGTACTATTAAAGTAGGTGATTGAAACAAGTCTTCCACTCTACACACAAGCACTCACTCACCTGCCACTTTAAATAGGTTTTCAACAGAATAAAAATAGATACACCCCAGAATACAAAAAGTTTAATTTTAACAGGTTTTTCACTAAAGACTATACAAATTGATAAAAGGGTGCACAATTTCCTAAAATTTTAGGTACATTTTAAATGAGCCTTTTTTTTACTTGGTAAAAGGATCAACATTCCTGTCTTTGAACAGAATATGATGGCCAAAATTGCAAAGAAAATTTATAGTTCAATTTACAATTTATACATTTGTTTTGAAGTGATTCCTGCACTGAGTAGCAGTCCGATGGCTGCTCACACACGTCCACTTTTCCCAAAAGAACGGTGCACCACAAAGTTAACATTTAGGAGCCTACTTCTCCTGGAATCGGGGGGAAACAAAAACCCACAAACTTCCATTTGTGCATGGTAAGTGGTCCCAACTCAACTAAAAGCCCAAACTTAGAAGTTCTAAATAAAACTTTCACTGGCAAGGGTCACCTTTGGGGCAAGGTGTGTAGGGACTGATGACCTGTCTGCTTTATGATACAAGCACAATGAAAGTGGAGTGCTTCCCATCAGTATTTTGGCTGAGCAATTTAACTCAAGACTGTGGTACTGAAACATGCTGTAACAGGCAAATTTGGTGTTCTATTTAAGGGTATTTTTGGTCAATACAAGCTATTAGAATTTTTTTTTTTTACCAGATAAATATTCTTGTTTCCATTATTGATTGGTAGAGTCCGACAGCTCCGTATGAGACTTCATGTGGAACTGCCCCGAAAACAGCAGCATTTTAAAACTGGCACCACCTGCGTAAAGGTAACTATAACCCCCACTCCCCTATCAAGAGACACTACCATTTGTCGGAGTGAATTTATTTGGGATATTGATTAGTACAGTCCTCTTTATACTGCTGATCCCTCCCACCCACATGAACCACGATTTGGTTTGGCAAGGTTAAATGCATCATATGACTTCTACAGTAGTTAATTAACACTTTCAACCACTGCACTGCTTTATGAATAGTGGCCATTCTAAAAACAAACTAAAACCAAAATACTGCCCAGCAAAAGCAACACTGCACCACTGTCTGAGAATATGAGCTAGTGGAGAGAGCTTCTGGACAATCTACTTAAGGAAAAGCAAGGCAAATCCATCAGGAAGCTAGAAATGAACCTTTAGAGCACAAGGCAGCACCAGAAAAAAGTTCTATTTCATGTAAGTTTAGTTTTTAGCCAAAACCATCTGCCTTGGTTTTTAAGTCAATGTCCATATACTTGGCTGTTGAGTTTTGTTTTACTGATCACATATGTTAAAAAATAACATCCCAATTAACCAAATAAAGCATTTGTTTTCTTCCTTTTCGATATTTACGTATTGGCCACTTTTTGGCAAATCTATTTCTTAGAATTTAAAACATTTCCATTTTAAGGCTAAACTAAGAAATGTTAAAAGCTTCTGTAAACATTTCCTCTTCTTCCGCAGAGCGACAATTTTAAGTCCAACTGCAATTTTTAAAGTGAGGTAATTTCTGTGTATTTATATCTTAAGAGTCCTTTTCATGACTGGCCAAAAGGTGTGCCAATCTGAACGCTGAGCCAATTGTAGTGGGAGAGCTACCACAGGAGGGCCTACATCAGTTCCAGCAGCTGCGTTTCAGTTGGCTATTTTCTCAATTTCATCCAAGTCGTCAGTATCCAGTTTTTCTATCTTTTTGTCTGCAAGAGAAGATTAGAAGGGAATTGGAACGCGTGCACTCTATACAATGGGAGAACAGAAGATGAGAAAAGGTCCCACTTTACTGCATTAAATCGCACTTCTGTTCTTGTCACAAGATGAATCCATGACAGACACAATAGAATTAAGTTTTATAAATCAAGTCTCAATATAGTGTGACGAAGTGGGAATTTTGGAAACATGATTCTTATGCATGCCTCAGTTTCCCCTCTGTGCTTTGCATTGCTATGCGAAGAATGTAAAGGGTTAAAAAGCTGCTCTTGGGACAGAGCGAGGGACATGAGGTGTCGTGTCACATAACTATCTGGAGTGGTATGAAGACTCGGTCGTCTAAAGAATGGGCTGAAATGGATCCAAATCAGTGGAGGATCCAGAAAGGCAATGGGAAACCCAACAGCCAAGAGGTTCACACCCAGGAACCAACAGAGGAAGGAGATTTTCAACCACCTCTCAGCAGGGAACCTGAGCAAAAGCCCCAGCTGGAGAATAAAGGCATCAGGTAGCAGCGTTAAGAGCTGGCCTTTGGAGAGACAGACACACCTGGAACTAAGGACAGGAGGGACAAAGATGGGGAGAGCACACCAAGATGGCTCCTCAGCAGCATGGCTCAAGGGAGCCCTTACCCTACACTGGCCATTCTGAACTTTTTCTAAATCTTTGCCTCTCTTTCTGACCCAAGGACTTTCAGAATCTGTACACCAGGAGTTGTTACCCTGTTTTGGAAAAACTGTCTGGGCTTAAGGCAAATACAGAGCATTACGCCCTGAAGGAATACGGTACAAACCTCCTGCAGAAGTCTGGCTTGGCTGGATTCACTGCAGGGAGCCAGAGAGGGTTCGCTAGTGCCCAAAGGCCCAGTGTCGAAGTGTTAGGCCTTGTCTATAATACCACGGTAAGTTGACTTAAGTTACGCTACTTCAGTTACATGAATAACGTAACTGGAGTCAACGGGGCTTAGGCTGTCTTACCACGATGTCTACACCACGCTCTCCTATCGACTTCTCTTACTCTTCTCGGAGTGGTGGATTACCGGAGTCGACCGGAGAGCGCTCTTCCATCAATTTAGCGGATCTTCACTAGACCTGCTAAACTGACACCCGCTGCATTGATTGCAGCAGCACCAATCTACCGGTAAGTGTAGACAAGCCCTTAGAGGCCACTGGCCTCCCCCAGTGGAACTGTGTGGGTACCTAGGGCTTGGTCCACTAAAGTAGTCACTTCCAAGGGACTGGCTACAGGCTGAGGCACACACCACACCACACCTCTGGATCTGTAACTTCTAGATCACTGGGTCACTCAAATTTCAGACTGGAAGCAATTTCTTGGGGGGGTGGGGGTGGAAGAGGAGGAGGAATGTCTATCGTAAGCAGAGGGGCATTCAAACATTATGGTTTGTGGAATATCATTTTTAGTAATGATGCCAACTAGCCAATGAGAACTGGATTGACATGGCAGAACACAAGCAAGATCTCCCAGGCACGTCTGTCATGCATCACTTTGGAAGTTTACTGTCTTATGACAGATGTAGAAGTTATTCATATGTACCAAAATGGGCTATCAGACCTGCCCTTTAAACAGTACTCACTGTTCTACTCTAAAATAAAGACAATTACATCAGAAGTTCTGCCCATTCGAATGTATACAAACAACTGGCTATTCCCCTAGTTTTCTCAATGTTATTTTTGAAACAAGGTGCTACATGAAGGGCAGTGGTACCCTTGACAGACTGTATGAAGCAAAGCAAAACTCTGTTAAGCCTAATCAAAGACCAAGACCACAGGCGCCTGGGAAATCTGAATCAGAGTCAGGGTTGTCAAACACAGACGCTCAAAATTCTATAGAAATAATGCTGTACCTACGCAAAAGAAAGGAAGCTTAAGAGGGACTTACTGAAATGTTCCTGAATTCTGTTCAGAATATTCATGCTGTGCTTGCTGTCTACCATGTTAACAGCCAGTCCCCGCTTGCCAAAACGACCTGTACGCCCAATCCGATGCAGATAAGTCTCATTATCTGGGTTGCCATCTTTATCCACAGGAAGGTCAAAGTTGATAACAACAGAGACCTGCTCTACATCAATCCCTGAGGAGGAAAGCATTAGAGATATCACAACTCTCCCTTTCACCCATTTTAAGCCAGAGCACCTTTCGTCCAGGATTGTTTCAGTGTTTTGATCCCAGAATCTAGGGCTTACCTAGAGCCATTAGTTTCAACACCT